GAAGGTGAACAATCTCATGAACCTTGTCCAGCTACGCTGGAAATGGGGATTTGAAAGAAGAAGAAAGTTTGGACCCCTTAATGTTAATTTTACGTTTTGCGCATTTCGCCATAACTCGAAAATAGCTCTCAAAAACTTTTCAAACGAATTGAAAATTTTTCGCACACAATTATGAAATTCGTTTATCCAAAGATAATTCCATGCAAAAAATAAATTTTATTAAATATTATATTATTTTATCGAATAATAGTAAAAAAAAAAATTGAATTGTGAGGTATACATTTCTTGCGTCATTTTAAAGCATGTAGTTTTCGTAGTTGTAAGTATGTAGCTATGTCAACGAAATCGTTTGAATAGTGTCTGCGAAATCGAATTTTAAATATACGTCTTCTTTAAAATTCGATTTCTTAGTATCTATTCAACCGATTTCGCTCAAATTTTGTATTTTGCTATTTAAAATTGCATTCTTTAAAATGATGTAAACAATTGTATATCTTACAATTCAAACTTTTTTCGACTGTCATTAAATAAAATAATAAATATTCTCTCTTTTTTTTTCAATAACGGCAGGCACTGAACTTTTCGTCCTTCGCCTTAGAAGATGCCGGAAGTGTCGCTCATTTATCGTTACCCAGTGGGCACCTGTGAACCAAAGTCACGGAGGCGAGTAACATTAGCCACGCCACACTGCCACAGATACCCGTTCATAGGGTGGGCCACATTCACACTGCAGACGACAACACAGAGAGAGAGAAACATCCATGCCCAGAGCGGGATTCGAACCCGCAGCCATTGGCTTCGCAGTCAGGCACGCTAACCACTCGACCACCTGGCCGGCATAAATACTCTCTAAAAGTTGATATTTTAAATGGAAATATCTTTGGCAAAGCGAATTTTATCATTGTGTGCAAATTTGTTTTTTTGTTTTTAATTCGCTTAAGAAACTTCTCGAGATATGGCGAAATATGCATAGAATAAAAATTTATACTAAGGGGTCCTAACTTTGGTCCCCCCTCTTGACCAAACTATTGGGACCATATTGCCCAAATTTCGTCTACTCTCTCTCTCTCTCTCAGGGGGGGGGGTTCAGAAATCCAAAGATATGTTTGTTCGGAGAAAGTGCGTTTTCGTACCTTACTAATCGTCTAAATCGTTTCAAAATATTGTCTCACTAATTAATTAGCCTATTTGAGATCATCCCTTCAAACCATTAAGATTAAGTCTTAGAACGTGAAGACCCGATCATGAGATCAAAAGTTTGTCCAGAGTGGATGTTTATGTTTTTCTCAGTGTGCATTCACGTATTTTTATGTGTGCTTTATTCACGTTTTTCTTTTTGTCACATTCACACGTAGCACAAAGTATGCTTTATCCTCATTTGAATATTGTGCTGTAACTTTGTAAGAATCCCGTAAACTCGTAAAGAACATACCTGGAAACAATACTAATAATCAGTCTGACGTAACAAATATCACCTTTGAAAAAAGTGAAGTGTTTCAAAGTTCGGAAAAAGTGGTAAACCTTTTCTAGTTCTTCAGTTAAAAAATATTATTATTTTAATCGGCACAAATAGGAGATAAAGTGGGTTTAGTTTGAACCTGAGAACTACATGGCCCAAAGTTTTGATAAAATATGCTGTTGTAGTACGCTGCATGCAATGAATACCTTTACATAATAAGATTCTAGAGCAAAAGAGAGATTTCCAAATTTTTCAAGAAACGCAGGGCAAGTACATCCTATTATTTAGAAGTCTGTGAAAGAGCTCTATCCTGTTACGGCAAATGTTTATCGAAACGAAGCTAAAAGAAATGTTCTGCTTCTGGATTTTATAAACATTAATAATCACTGTGTTGTTGAATGTGGGATAGAAGATAATTTAGATAAAATCTTCGCTGTAATAATTAAAAGATTGTAGCAAAAACAAGGAAGAAAATGATAAGTTTATTTTTACCCATTGGCAAAATAGGTCTTGTTTTGAGTTCGATGGCGTGCCCCACTCATTCGGACGTCATCACACTTTTCAACTGTGTTCAAGAGTAATAGTAAACAGTGCGCATGCGTCGTCATTGCATGCGTTGCTGTGGGGATCGCTGTTGTTTTTCTTTTTATTTTCACTAGCTGGCAATTTTAATGTATTTACATAATAATAATTTAAAATATTTTTATATTCTTTTTATTATTAACTTATAATTACTAGCTTGACAGTGATTTCGATATAAATATGAATACTGACAAAGGAAAAGCATTTTGTGGCATCTTGAAACACGTACATAGGCAGGATATGAAAACCAATCCGACGACAAACATAAATTGTGACAGTTTTTGCAACCCATGAATTGAAATGTTGTGGCGTTTAACGGAGTCAATCCAGAAAGAAAGAGCTTTTGACCAATGGGTAACCAGTGATCGTGACAAGGCGATCAAAACTTTTTTATTTATTATTTTTTATTTGATTTTCAAATCATGAATTCAAAAATACAAGTTAGAATTCTTGATCGCCTTTATCATTTTGAGAGATTCAGATGAGAAACTTTTGACCAATGGGTAACCAGTGATCGTAACAAGGCGATCACAATTTTTTATTTATTATTTTTTATTTTATTTTCAAATCATGAATTCAAAAATACAAGTTAGAATTCTTGATC